TCCTCTCGTCTAAATTAGTTTATGTAGTAATCGGCAATTATAATACAAACTCTTTCTTATCCCTTTGAAAGAAAGAAAAAAGTAGAAACATAAAAGGAACCTTACATGTATGGCACTGTACTTGTCTCTTGCAACAAGACTGTTCGAAGAGAAGAATCATATCTAGTTGATACTTATGGTTGTTTGAAACTCGCCAGAAAGTGCTACAGTGTGGCACTATATATATAGTTTTGATTTTGGAGGGTTTTGTTTCTCTGCACTGCAGCCGTGAGATTTTGATAAGAAAGCAAAGTGGGCCATCCGGAAACACTTTCACCGGCTCCCTTTTCTGATTCTCTGTTCCCAGCCAAGCACGTTGTTTTATTCAGTGGCAAATTCACAAATTCTTCATCAAAATAGGGTTCCTGTGATGTGAGTTTGGAGAGGTAGCAAGGGTGCAAGAGAGAGAGAAAACGACATTTGTTCTCCACTCAGAACCTTGACAAGTGAAAGAACGAGTGGAGCACCATTTCAAACCACACATGCACAACTTGCCGCACTTTAGCTTCCGAATATTTATTGAGATTGAAGATTATCATTCCACACATTCATGTCAACTTTCTATCCATAATTCTAATGTTAGCACATATCATTACTTCTTCTCACTACCTGCCTCTTTTCAACTCACGATAAGTTTCAAGTTTTATTTTTTTTCATGAGAATTATAATAACAACTGTTCTTGTTTGAGGATACACACTTCAATTATCTTCGTTGTGACGGGTCGGGTCTTCGGTCTCTGTTTTCTTGTTCCAATCCGGGTAGTCCGAAGGGGGTGTGCCTGCAAAGACACTCCGACGCTCAAGTTAGTGCTCGGCGTAATAAATGCGGTAGTTCAGAATTAATTACGTACCTCGTTGAGGTCCTATTTATAGTGGTTCTTATTGGGCTGCAATTAGGGACTGGGCCCCGAAAAATTAGGGGTTTAATCCTGTGCATTATATTAAATAATCTCTCCGTAACCATCTAGATGATGTCGACAGACTCGGCCGACTCCGCCGACCCGCTTCACCCCATGTAGGGGTGGTCGGCGGGTTCGGGTATTCGGCATAATCAACGATCTCGGGAATTCGGGCGTTTCGGCCACTATACGGTCAACGATCTCGGGTATTCGGGCGTTTCGGCCACCATACGGTATACAACCCCCGCAGCGTCAAGGATGAGAAAAGACGAAGACGGTATGGAGGAGATGGTGACGTGGTATTCGTTGTCCAGGAATAGGGGTCGGTATAGGAGTATCTCGATGCTGTCTTGATTATGCTTGGGTCGACCTTGACCATGAGCTCCAGCCGAGGTCTTTTGCGGGCGATGTCTAGGCCGAGACCTCAGGCGGTATTGGCCGAGACGTTGGTCATGTGAGGTCAGGCCGAGGCCTTTTGTTGGTGGTCTAGGCCGAGGCCTTGGACATGTGAGGTCAGGCCGAGGCCTCCTGCGCTGGGGCATTCTTATTTTACCTACTAGTCCCTGTGGATACGATTTAAATTTACTACTTGAACGACCGTATACTTATCGTGTTTAAGTCCGTTGATAGAATAAAAATGATTTATAACAAAGACAGAAACTAATGTCAACAAAAATCTCAATAAGACCATATATTATTTTATCTTATAATAATTTAATATAGACAATGACAATTTTATTATTAGTAATTATTTAAAATTCAGTACAATGAAAAGTAAATTATCTTTATGCAAATAAAACACATACAAATAATAAAACATCTTCTTTTTTTTTTATACCAAGCCTTCTACTTTTTTATTTAATATTTAATATATTAATTAGTTCCTAATTTTTTTTCATAATTTATAATTAGGTCTTTAAATTATAAAAAAATTATACTTAAGTCTTTCATCATTTTATATTCTTATTATTTAATCTTCGAGGTTAAATTTATTTTTTAAATCTATACAAATTTTACAAATCATTCTTTATATTCGTGTAAATGAAATATTTTTAGAAACTTTTGTAACTAGTATTATAGCATATGTAATATATCGATATGTTTATTATATATAATATAATTAAAATTTATAATAAAATATATATTAAAAATATTATATTTGAATATATATATCATATTTAAAATTTATGATAAATAATTTATATA